GAGAGAGAGAGAGAGAGAGAGAGGTGAGTGTGCAGGAGTTGTGACTATGAGAACGTGTGCGTGTGCCAGTGTCAGCAGATGTGTGAGTGTGCCTGTGAGCATGCCCATGTGGGTGTGTGCATGTGTGTGCACTTGTGAATGTGTGAGTGAAGGTGATGGAGAGTGTGTTAGTATAAGAATGTGAACTAGTGGGAGTGTGTGAATGTGTGTAAGTGTGAGTGCGGTGGGTGCACGCGTGACACCTGGATAGATGGGCAGATGTTGGGATCAGTGAATACATGGCAAAATGCTTAGACCCAATAGGATGGGTGGCTGGTTAAATATTTAGATAAATAGATGGAGGAGTGCTTGACTAGATAAATGGTTGGATAGGTAGGCATCCAAATGGGTGAATACATGATTGGATGAATGGAAAGACAGCCAGCTGACTGGATATTTATTTCTTATTATTATTTTTAATCATTTTATTGAAGGCTCTTGCAGTTCTTATAACAATCCATACCTCCATTGTGTCAAGTGCATTTGTACATATGTTGCCATCATTTTCTAAACATTTCTTTCCATTTGAGACCTTGAGACTGTAACTCTTTTTTTTTTTAATCATTTTATTGGGGGCTCATACAACTCTTATCACAATCCATACATGCATCCATTGTATCAAGCACATTTGCCAATTTGTTGCCGTCATCATTCTCAAAACATTTTCTTTCTACTTGAGCCCTTGGTTTCAGCTCCTCATTTTCCCCTCCCTCCCCACCCTCAAGAACCCTTGATAAATTATAAATTATTATTATTTTCACATCTTACACTGTCTTCTATCTCCCTTCACGCATATTTCTGCTATTTGGCACCCTGGGGGGGGGTATTTAATAATCTGGTGTCAATTTGGGACTTGAGAGGATTAAGAGTGAAGGGGCGGAGTCTAGTCTGTCAATCAGGTCACAGCCAATGAGGCCTCTGTGTGGGCGTGGCCTTCTCCTAGGATTCTGGGAATTCTGGTATTCCTTGGAGGCGGAGACACACTCTCAATGTGTGAGTCTGGGTAGGCTAGAGAAACAAATTCATGGACACTCTCATATGTATAGGAAAAAGCTTTATATACAAGCGTAATTGAACATTGAGAAAACTTCCCAGCCCAGACCAGATCAAGTCCATAAGTCTGATAGTAGTCCATATGTCGGATATCAATCTACAAAGTCCTCTTCAGACTCACAGAACACATGCCATGACGTATACATAGATCATTTCAGTTGGTTCCCCCTTTCTCCCCCAGCCTTCCTCCTACCTTCATGGTATGGCTCCTCCCATTATTGTTCCTGAGGAGTTTATCTGTTCTGGATTCCCTGTGTTGAGAGCTCATCTTCTCTGTACCGGTGTATATGCTGTGGTCCAGTGGATTTGTAAGGTAGAGATGGGGTCATAGTGGCAAGGAGGAAGCATTAAAGAACTAGAAGAGGAATGTTGTGTTTTGTTGGTGCTATACTGCACCCTGGCTGGCAGTCACTTCCATGTGACCCTTGTGTGATGGGATGTTCAACTGTCTACAGATGGGCTTTGGTTCTCCACTCCACCCCCACTCATTCACATCCATATGATTGTTTGTTTTCGTTCTTCTGATGCTGGATACCTGATCTTGTTGACACCTTATGATATAACAATAGGGACATAGATCTATGTACATATACTTATATGTTAATTATTAAGGTAGCAGAAAGACATTGGGGCTCTACTCAAGTACTCCCTCAAGGAAGAACACTTTGTTCTAATAGCCTGGCATTCTGTAATGCTCACCTTCCAAACATAATGGCTGAAGACAAAATGGGTGCATAAGCAAATGTGGTGAAGAAAGCTGATGGTGCCCAGCTACTAAATGATATAGTGTCTGGGGGTCTTAAAGGCTTGAAGATAAACAGCAGTTGACTAGATAGTTAGAAGGATGTATTTTAGCATGAATTAAATGGAGTGGATGGCTGTAAGTATGGCTGGATTGGCATTTACATAGGTAGGTTATGGGTAGTGGTTGGTTAATGGTGTTTGGATGGATGAATGCATGAATGCATGGCTGGCTAGATACTTGAGCCTCTGGATGCGTATGTGTTTAGGTATGTATGTGTGTAGATGGATGGATGAAGAGCGAGCCTGAGAAGATGGATAGGTGAATGGGTGTTTGCATGATTAAATAATACTTTCAGGTGCACCTTACAGATCCATCAAAAGTGAAGTCACATGTATGGAGCACATAGCTAATGTCGCCCATGTCATGCTAACGTATTAGAAAGAGCCTGGGCTTCATTGACTGACCTTTGTTCTGATCTTTGTCCTACCACTGCGGCCTGGAATGAGTACCTGACCTCTCTGCACTTTATTTTGTTTTCTACCATAAAATGTCACTTAAAACACGTACTCCAGAGGGTAGCTGTGAAAAGGAAAGGGGCTAATATGCGTCTCAGTGGTGGGCATATACATACTTCAGAGGTACATGGACTTTTACCCATGCATGGATCATAAATCCTCCCTCTAGTCTGATTGATCCAACCTAAGTCACATGCCCACTCCAGGACCAAGAGCAGCTATTAATACTAAGCCAATAGTAAGCGCTGTATAAAATAGATTGATTAGGGTCCTCCCCCAGGAACCTGAGTCGATTGTTCAAATAAGGGGAGGGAGGGAATAGTTGGGGGACTGCCCGGGCAGATTAGGTGAGAGAAGACGGTGAGGCTGACAAGCCTATGGCAATGGGCAGCCAGTGTGTCCATTGTGTCCATGCCAAGCGTATAGAGAAAAACACTCTGGTGGGTGACTGGGTGTGAGGGAGACATGGTGAACCCCAGGGAGGAGCAGGCTGAGGAAAGCTGGTGAGTTAAAGTCGGGCCTCCCTGCTTCTCAGTGTCTAGAGAGCCAGAGGAGAGGAAGTTAAATCGGTGTGCCTGGGACTCTTGTCAGGGCTCGCAACTGAAATTGAGGAATGATCTGTATCCCTTTGCCTTTATAAAATCCTAGCTAAGTGCATTACATTTCGCCTTCAAATCAATTCAAGTGAGTTGCAGGACTGAGTCAGCCTCCTGGCCCTGGAGAATTGCCCATGGGATTGAGCAAGGTTGTCGGGGAGGGGCGTAGCAAGGGGGAGGACCCCCGTGTTTCGGAGACTCGGGCCAATCTATTCCTGCGTATGTAGCTACCTGGTGGCCTGCTTTGGATGCTGCGGCTTTCACGGCCAGTGTCCCCTCTGCTCATCGGTAACGGTGCAGGCAGCTGCTGGGTCACCTCTGGACTCCAGGACCTCGCTACCTTCGAAGGCAGTGTCTGCTTCGCAGTATTCTTCCCGGTAGCTGTTAACGGGGCCCTGAGCATGCTCCGTACTGAGTGCAGCTCAACCCCCGCAGACCAGTATGGACAGAACGAGCCTCCTGCCTCCTCGTACCAACTCCTCAGGCTTTCGAAGGGTGGTCAGGCGTGGCCCCAGCTTCCGCTCTTTCCCAGGCCGCCCCCCCTCCCTGCTTGTGTAGCTGGAAACCATCCTGAAACCTCTCCTTTGGCCTGGTACATTTCTCCCTACTTTCCCGCCCCTGTTGCCCCAGACTTCCGGTTCCATTTAGCTGAAGTCTTTTCCGGTTCCGCTGCGTGCGGGCGTCACTTCCGGTTCCGCCTCGTGCTGAAGTATGTCCGAGCTATTCCTCGACCGCAGGAAGTCACGGTCCATGTTGGTTGAGGTGGGGCGAGCCCCGGTGAGTTAGTCCAGGGGAGTGTGGAGAGCCGGCAGCAGACCGAGCATGCGCACCAGCATGCGTCTTCCTCCTCTGCCCCCAGAGGGGCGTGCAACTGGACCGGGCCTAAGTGTCCTTGGGCCGCCCTGCCTGACTGCGGTTCATGGATCCTCCTCGGACCACTTCTCGGGCGTGTGGCTTTGGGCAACTTTTTAGCCTCCTTGCGCCCCAATTCCTCCATTACGCTTGTAAAATTGGGACGATGATGATTGTTCCCAGTCAATACGTTCCTGTGCATTTGAAGGGCACCTGGGTATCAAGTGCTGGGAGCAGGGCTTGGACATTGAAGCAGGTCACTGAATATTAACGAGGGCTGACCTTGTCACTCCCTGGGGTCTCTCCAATCCCCTGGAACTGCAGAATCCATACCCCTTTGGGAAATGTTGAAAAATTCACCAATAGCAAGATGAGTGACCTTTACAAAGACCACGGGCCATTGTCTCCAAGACAGACGCCTTTGTTAGAACAAGAAACAGGAGCCACAGAAATCCAGCCATCCGATGCTGACGACGTGAAAGAAAACTATCTGGGGAGTCCATGGGCTTTTCTCTCATTCTAGGGGTTTCCTTTGGGGAGTGGTTGTCCTTAATACTTGTGCTCAGGGTTCATTTTATCCGACACCCCCCACTGCACTGCATACATAATGAGCTCAGCATTTTCTAGGCTTTCAAGGAGCCCTGGTGGCATAGAAGGTTACATGTGGGGCTGCTAACCGCAAGGTCAGTGGTTCGAAACCACCAGCCATCCCATGGGAGAAAGATGAGGCTTTCTACTCCCGTCAAGAGCCACGGTCTGAGAAACCCACAGGAGCGGTTCTACCCTGTCCCAGAGAGTTGCTGTGAGTCAGAATCAACTCAGTGGCGTGAATTTCTCAAGCAGCCTGGCTAGCCAGTTCCTAGGCACTGAGTGTTAAGAGACTTTTACCGGAGGCAGATATGGGTGGGATTGGCGCCTTCTCCGGGTGGTGGCAGGTGGATGAAATCAGGTAGCGAGCGTGCCTGGGCCACACCCCTCATGTGGCCCTGTCCATAAAGGCGGTGGCCAGCCTTGCTTCCGAGCCAGATCTTGGTCTTCGTATTCCTTGCGTCCCCAGCTGCGGACAAGAACTTTCGGACAAGAACTTTCGTGCATACCTGCCGAGTCATCCCTGAACTCATCGTGTCCTGGGGTTGTCCACAGTGGGGTGGGAGGAGCCCGGGCTCTCCCTCTGACCCCGGTTGCCCCCTCGCTTTGCAGACATCGACGAGTGTGAGAACGACTACTACAACGGGGGCTGTGTCCACGAGTGCATCAACATCCCGGGGAACTACCGGTGCACCTGCTTCGACGGCTTCACGCTGGCGCACGACGGACATAACTGCCTGGGTGAGTGAGCGGCCGGGCCCACCCCAGCTCCTGCCTCGGCTCCGGCCGGCCGGCAGTGAGGGATGGGGCAAGCCGGCTTTTCCCGTGACTCCGTGAGGTCTCTTATATAACTCCTGAGCCCTGTGACTCAAGTGTTTATTTTAAACCAGCCTTATAAAGTTTATAAGGGTTGTGCAAGCTTGACACATAAAATTGGAAACACGCAGAAGAGTCGGGAGGGAGCGAGCAGCGGCAGACCATTTTTAGCGAGGCTGGTGCGGGCCCTCTCGGTCTTCCCTCAGACCGAGCAGATGGTCGGCCTGGTTCACGCCTCGCCTTATCCTGTTAGCGTCACGTGTGCTCCAGCCCTTTTTCTGTGGCCTCTTGTGGGTGCCGTTGTCAGAGATGAGCACGGGCCATGAGCTGAAATCAAGTCAGGCGCCAGAGACAGTTCTGGTCACGAGAACCTGGCAAGCGGTAGTCTGAGGCCTGGCTGACCACGGAGGTGGTCAGAGATGGTAACCGAGGCACCCCACCTCCTGGTAGAAAGGGTGTGGACCCCAAACCCGCTTGGGCCACAGGCTTCTGAGTGGCATGAGGCAGTGTTCAATGAAGCCAAAGGGGGAGCTCCATCTATGGCACAGCCATGCACAAATGGCCCCATTGGTTCATGGAGGTTGTCTGGGCAGCTGCCTGGCACAGGCCTTGTCAGCAGTGACTAAAGCAATGTCATGACAGGCCCGAGCAGCCAGCCCAGCAATTGGTGCTCAGTAGCTGTGACCATCCGTGAGCTCCCTGGGCCTCAGTCGTCCCCACGGGGAAGTGCTACCAGCTTGTAAGCGAGGACGCAGTGGTCCAGTGCCGGGGGGAGATGGCCGGCATCTGTAATCAACACAGAGGCCATGCCGCTGCACTAGGGGACGTGGCCACCCCTCTGAGGTTGAACATGGAGCATGTTGGGGCAGGGAGAGGGGGGTCCTCTAATGGTTGGGGCTCGGAGCTGACACGGGGCCTACCGTGTCTCTTTCCTCTGGTTTCTATGAGACCGTTTATGGTTTTCAAGGTGGTCCCTCCAGAAGGACTCCGCAAGCCTTCTGCCCGGCCTGCCGGTGCAAGGTTCGGGGACTCTCGGAACACCGGAGCTCTTCCCCAGAGCCAGGATGGCCCTCGGAGCGCTGCCTCTTCTCCGTGTGCTGCAGGCTGGCTCTCAAGACACGCTCGTTATAGGAAACAGCTCTGCGAGGCAGTGCCATTACACTCAAACTCAGTGCTGATGCCGGGACTGGCAGCGGAAGGGGCCCTAGCCCCGGAGGGCGCCCACCAGGAGGGGCCATGAGCAGACTCTCTGGCGGTTGGGAGATATTAGCCAGTGGAGGCCACGCCTGAGGCGATGGCCGTGGGTGACTGTCTGAGGCTGGGCTGGGGTGTTGAGGGTGAGCGTGGTCACAGAGGGAGCAGAGGCTGGGGCGTTGACTGTCCCAAGCCCCCGGGCCGGGACAAGCTTCAGTTCACTGCAACGGGGACCACTCACCTCTCCGGGGGAGGAGAGTGACGTGGGCTCCCGCCATGAGAGGTCAGCGAAGCAAGAGAGGAGCCGCCGGTCTCGTGGCCTCTCGTTTCACATCGTGGCGACCCCGTCGGCCCTCGTGCTTGGTGAGGAACCCTGGTGGCAGAGGGGCTGAGCTGCTAGCCACAAGGTCGGCAGTTCAAAATCACCAGCCCTCCTCAGGAGGAAGACGAAACTTGCTACTCGCGTGAAGCATGACAGTCCTGGGGACCCCGAGACAGTTCCACCTGTTCGGCAGGGTCCCTGTGAGCGGCACCGACTTGATGGCAGGGAGTGCTTTTCACATGTGGTAAAGTAGGTGTGGTTGTGTGCTGTGGGGTCAATTCCGACTCACAGCCACCCCCTAGGACAGAGTAGGACTGCCCCCCTCGGGTTCCCAAGCCTGTCGTCATGCCTGCAGCAGACTGCCACCTCTTGCTCCCCCGGAGCAGCTGGTGGGTTTGAACCGCCAACCTTTCAATTCTCAGCTGAGCCCCTAACCAGCTCAACGTGCCAGCAGAATCACCCAGAGATCCAGGGGACCCAAACAACAAATTCACAGCCACCAAGTCACAGCGAGTTTCTGAGACTGTGACTCTTTACGGGAACAGAAAGCCTCATCTTTCTCCTGCTGGTTTCGAACTGCTGGCCTCGCGGTTAGCAGCTCAACTCAGAAACCACTACGCCCTGGCAACAAATCCCAGGCTCGCGTACTGCCTCTGCCGGTTATCGGCTGTGTGACCTTTGGTCAGTCACTGCACCCCTCTGTGCCTCCGTTTGTTCCTGTCAGAGGGGTCCTGTGCCCTCTCATCAGGTCCAAGTTGGGGGTCACTGAGTCCAGGGCCGTGGAGGATCTTGAGGGGCACCTGACCCTGAGCCCTCAAATCATAACCAGTATCAGATGTGCTGAGGAAGACGGTTTGACGCCCAAGGCTGGGTGGCACCAAAGCATGGCAGATCGCCACTGTCTCTGGTGCTGGGGAATGTGGGCTGCAGCAGGCACGTCCTTGCCCTCAGCACCTGCCCCAGGTGGACAGTGAAGCCCGGCCTCTGGGTCTCCAACACAGTTGTCACATCATTTTGTTGAACCTGATCCCTTTAAATGGTTGGGTACACCTCCCCTACCCCTACGCCCTACCCCAAAGAGCACGTGCCACCTTCTGTGCCTCCTAGTGCCACCGATGGCAGCCAGGAAAGGCTCTCCCTGCTGCTCCTCGGCTGGTCCGTGAGGGCAGCCTTTTCCCCACTCTCAAGCAGGACAGAACCCAGACCCTGGCTCCGACCAGCCCCAGGCCCAGCTGCCCACGTGGCCTCAGGTGGCTGACTTATTTCTCGAGGCCTTTCTCCCTTGTCCATAAAGTGCTGCGGGAATTAAAATGTGGGGTTCCGTGTAGACGCCTCGTCTGTGTGCCGGCGCCGGCCGTGGCTCAGGAAGACAGATGGCCGAGGGAGCGGTGCCTCTGAATCCGGGCGTTGGTGCCGAGGGTCTCATGGGCCATCGACGGCCGGAAGAGCAGCAGGTTGGTCTTCGGGCGAAACAAGCCCAACCAGAATGCTCCTTAGAAGCAGGACGGTGGGACCCTGTCTCCCGTAGTTTGGGACATGTTATCAGAAGGGACCTGTCCCTGGAGAAGGGCATCGTGCTGGGTAATGCAGAGGGTGGGCGGGAAAGTGGAAGCCCCTCGGTGAGATGGACGGACAGTGGCTGCAACACTGTGGCAGACACGGTGAGGGGGTGCCGGCCCAGGCCGTGTTTCCTTCTGCTGTGCACGGGGTTACTGGACATCAGAACCGACTCGGTGGGACCGAATGACAGGGGCAGCAGTGTGGGATGGCAGAGACCGATGAAGGGTCTTTTGGAGCAGACGTGCAGACGTCAGCTGGGCTGGGCTGACAGACCTCTGTTCCTCATGTGCCCCGCTCACGGATGGGCTAGCTCAGCTCAGGGCCTCGACCACCCACCTAGGACACAGGGCAGGAATGTCTGTCCTGAGATGGCTCAGTGGGAGAAGAGGGTGGAGAGCCATGCGCAGTGACGTGGCAGTGTGACGTTCTGCAGCTGTACCCTGTGCTGTCACCACGGGGAGGCAGAAGTTTCTAGCAGCCCACCCACAGTCCTTCTCTTCTGGCCAGCCAGCTCATGTGCTTTGTTCTCAAAGGAGTGTTGTTGATGTCAACATGTTAAGACTGAAGGATGTCATAAAAATTTGACATTGCCGGCATCCCTCCTGCTCGGCCACCATCAGCGGACCCTGAATATGGTAGCGATCGGGGCAGGAGTGCAAAGGGGGCTTCCAACCCCCACCTCTCAGATGTGTCAGTAGTCCCAAGTCTTAAGTGAAGCCCCCTAAGCTAGAGACGATGCCGGCTTTCCCTCTTGGCGACGAGTCCTGCCCATGACCTGGAGGAGTCCCTGCAAATGGAGAACCTGCTCAGCTGGTGGCCAGCAGGGTGGAGGTTCAAGCCTACCCGGAGACACCAAGGAAGAAAGGTCTGGCAGTCAGCTTCCTCCAACAGCCAACAAAAACCCGATGGCGCCGAGGTCTGTTCTGCTCTGGCCCGTGAGGGGGCACCATGAGTTTTTATCAGTAGCTCAGCTGCTGGCTAGCGGTCTGGAGGGGCAGGCTTGACTCCAACGTTCTCAGACTCCTTGGAAGGAGCTTTGTGCCAGAAAGTATTTCCTCCTCCAGCTCCATGCTGCACCGTGGGAGCCCCTTACAGGACAGGACAGTGGACACCAGAGCCAGCCTTTGCTGCTCTTTGGATCTAAGTGTCCTCTGTCCTTCCCAGAATGGACAGGCTCTGGATCATGGGCACAGGGAGCTGTGGGGGGGCTGTGTGTTCCAGGCACACGTGACCCATTGGTCCTGGGCCCTCCTCATTCCATGGGGGCGACACCGTCTCCTAAACATGGGCCCAGCACTAGGCCACCACCGCCTGCCCCAGTCTGAGGGGGGGACCCGCAGCAGTGCGTGGGTGCGCTGGTGTGTGGGTCTCCTACCACTCGGGTTGCTCCCTGCCAGTCAGCTTGGTCCTGTGAATGACCTGCTGGCCCTTGGTAAGCCTCTGGGCTGTGCGGCCTGAAGACGCTGTAGCCCAGGAGCTGCCCCCTGGGGTGGGGGTGGGGTGACTAGTTACCAGAAGATTCTCATCTTCACCTCCCGTGTACTTCTGACAGTCTCTGGTCAACCACTACGCCTCACCCCACATCCATCCCCCATGAGGGACAGAGAAACTGTTTGCATCTCTCCACCATTTACAGAAGGAGCCTGGCAGCGTAGTGGTTGAGTTGGGCTGCTGACCACAAAGTCAGCAGTTCAAAGCCACTGGCCACCCCGAGGGAGAGCAGTGAGCCTTTCCATCCCATACAAACTGACCATCTCAGAAACCCACAGGGACGCGTCTACCCTGCCCTCTGGGGTCCCTGTGAGTCTGCATCCACCAGATGGCAGGGAGTAGGAGGAGCCCTGTAAAT